CGACGAGTCGGCGTGACTGCCATTACCTTTGGGCCCCCTCCCCCTCCAGGATCTCCACGACTTCGCCAAACCCCGCATAACGCACGAGCTCCCGGGCAACGGCCGCGTGTTTGGGCTCGAACTCCACGCAAGTCAACGTGCCCTGAAGCGGCAAACTCATTGCCGTCCAAATCGCAGAGTACCCGAGGAACGTTCCCAATTCCACAGCCCTCGTCGGCTTCGCCTCTTTCACAAGCCTCGCCAGGATCTTGGCTTTCTCTTCGTGCAGAAAGTAGGTTGGATAGTAGTCCCCAAACGTCTGCATCGCTGCAAGGACCGCCATGGCGTCCCCCTCTCGGGCCTGAGACTTAATGAATGGAAGGATGTCCGAGGGCTGAGCGTACGGCCACTGGCTATAGAATGCCGGGTCCTTGACGAGCGTCGCCGCCACCGCCGTCCCTCCCCGGAGCACGTGGCCCACAACGAACCCCCTTCTCGAGATCCCCCCAAGACAACGACATCTTTGCGACGTTCGTTGCGTTCCACTCGATGATGATGTCGACGCCGGCGTCGTCGAGCATCTCGACCTCTCCGTGGTGGTCCCTCCGCTTCCTCCCTTCACTCGCGTCGCCATTCCTCGTGAGGAAGAGGAAGAGGAAGAGGAAGAGGAGCGCCAGGGCCAAGGGCCTTTGTGGATAACGAGCACGTGCCGAGGGCGAGGGGAGGGAGGGGAGGGAGTGATGGATGACTCCGTGTTCATCGAGATGGAGATGGAGGGAGCGGGTATGGGATCTCTTGCCAGGGCTATCTTGCCCACCTCTGCAAAGGGTTCGTTCTGGAGGGAGGAAGGGAAGAGAAGAAGACTCTTAAGGCGTTGTGACCAATGGATTTCAACATGATATAGTGTTGCTTTACTCGGTTATTGACGCTGGAGTCTTGTCGACCTGGCCAAGGTAGCACTTGGCCAGGAGAAAGTCGATGTTCACCCACTTGTGATACTTGTTAAATAATCTCGTGGCGTCCTTTCCCGCGCCTTGCATGAGGTAGTCCACGCCCCCTGGGTGAAACTTGATGTACCTCGTGACGTTGTAGACCTTGCCAGCGAGGACCATCCAACAGTCGTCCACGGTCTTGTGCTCCCCCACCTCCTTGAGGGTGATCTTCCTGGCCAGGGGCCTCCCCCGATTCCCATTGAGGTCCTCCGTCGGGCTCCGCGTCAGTCGGACCCAATCCACTTGACTGTACCCCTTCTCGAACGGCACCTTCTTGCGCCTCGTTGGCGCTGGTGCTGCAGCACCTATCGGTCGTGGCTCCCCCTTGGACGACGACGATCTGTGACGAAGCAGAGAGAGAGAGAGAGAGGGAGACGCATCGAAAAGTACTCCTCGGGTCAGTTACTTCCTCGGCGCGCAAGGGTCGAAACCATTTCCTGCGCCAACGAAGAGCAGCAACGCTGTTGTTGTCGCCGTCGTTTAGGTTTAGCTCGATCTCGATCTCAAGAAGAACAAGAAGAACAGGAAGAGAGAAGGGGATCGACGTACCCTTTCGTTTGTGTCGGAAATCCTGGGAAGGAGACCGAAGAAGCCGCCCCTTCCTGGTCGACACGCCCCTTCTCCTCCTGGGTCCTGTCTGTCACCGTCGCGAAGGCTGTCAGCGGCACCTTCCCTTCCATCGGTCAACCAAGGTATGAAAAACTCGCGACACCCGGCTACTCAACCTCCAAGCGCGGCCACGCCCCTCACCACGGCATCCAAGTCCCCACCCTCCTCTTCTCGAGCGAAGAGCAAACTCCGAAGAAGACACTTGATCCGCGTCAACGCCGGTACCAAACGAAAGCTCTCGAGACGACGCTCCTTGCTCACCAGGTCCCCGTCCCTCTGACCCGACCCCGCCGCCGCCAAAGTGAATGTAAAGGTAAAGGTAAAGGTCTCCCTCCCTCCACTATATGAATCCAATCAATCAATCGATCAATCGAACAATCGAACAATCGAACAATCGAACAATCGATCCTTTCCTCGTGCCGGTTCCGCACGCCAACGAGGCCGGTACCGTTCGAAAGCTCTCGAGTCGACGGTTGTTCCTCGTCAGGACATGTTCCCTCCCCCGTTCCCTTCCGCGCTCTGCCTCGTCTTCGCCAAGGAGCGCTCCTCTCCTCTCCTCTCCTCTGTCGTCGTCGTCGTCGTCAGAGGTGGTGGGTGGTCTGGCGCGTCGGCGCTGCGTCATGGAGGAGGAGAGACGGAGGAAGCGGTCGAGGAAGGAGGAGAGGATGTCTGGTGACCTCGGTGGACTGACCAAGGACACGTGGTCCGTCATCGCGGACCACCTCGATGCCTACGACAGGATAGCTTTCGCCTCGACGTGCAAGACCTTTGCAGAGGTGGCGATGGAGAGGTGGAGGTTGGGGATGGGGTGGTCCTTGCCGGAGGGGAGGGGGATGAGGTTGGTGACGGACCTGACGGAGGACAGGCTGTTCGACAGGGTGCCTCGCTTCACGTTTGGTTGGTTCGTTTGGGTCTTCGAGTCCTTCCGAAGGAGGGAGGGGAGTCCGAGCTACGTCAGGTTCAGCAAGCCTGAGGTCTGGTTGTTCGACAGTGACCTCTTGTTTGTCGCTGCATTCCAGGGGAACTTGAGGGCGCTCAAGTGGCTGGTCGGGCAAGGCATCCGGTGCGATTCGGGCTCGTGGGCCTGCAGCCGTGCCGCAGCGGGCGGGGGCCACCTCGAGGTGCTGGAGTGGCTGAGCGGCCAGGGGTGCGAGTGGAGGCCGGTGCACTGCGCGTACGCCGCGGAGGGCAACAACCTGAGGGCCCTGCAGTGGCTTCGGGGCCAAGACCAGCCCTGCCCTTGGGATGCCAGGACGTGCTCCCGCGCGGCCTTGAGGGGCCACCTCAGCGTCCTGCGCTGGGCCAGGGGCCAGGCCCCGGCGTGCCCCTGGAGCGAGGACACCTGCGCCCGCGCCGGCCGCGGGGGCCACCTCGAGGTCTTGAAGTGGGCCAGGGCCCAGGGCTGCCCGTGGGACGATAGGACTTGCGCGTACGCCGCGGACGAGGGCCACCTTGATATCCTGAAGTGGGCCCGAAGCCAGAAGCCCCCTTGCCCTTGGGACGACGACCTTGTAGAGAGGAGGCAGCGGCAGCAGCAAGGATGACGATGAGGAGAGTTTTGGAGGAGAGTATGGGTGGGTGCGTGCGTGCGTGCGTGACGGCGGCGACGACGACGACCGTGGTGTCGTTGCACGCACAACACACACGCACACACAAAGGATTTTTTTTGACAGTTTTGACCAAGCCAGTTTTGAGGAGTTGAGGCAAAGGGAGCCACGCCTTTGTGGCGCGGCGTGTTGCTGCGTTTATTTGTCTTTTGGGTTTCGGTTTCGGCGTGCGCACGGATGCACGGATGCCTTTTCGTGTCTCAACAGCAGCAACACACACAGTGGGTCCAAAGAATGATGGGTCCTATCCTATTCTGTCCTATCTTGGACGACAGGAGGACAGGAGGACAGGAGTGGTTGTTGCTGGATTGGTTCGCTCGCGCCCCTAAATAAACCTCACACCCGAGACAGCGGCGTTTTTGTTGTTTTGTGTTTCACATTTCATGTATTCATCCTAGTTTTTGCTTTTGGTTTGCTTCCTGGCCTGGCTCAGAGAAGGAAGGAGCGAGGAGTATAGACAATCAGTGCGTTCTTATGCACTATGCCGCGAGATGTAGTGAGATGCGCGATTACTGGTTGTTTCCGGTTGAGCAAGCCCTGTCGGACTTGGGCGGGGAGACGGCACGAGAGGAAGAGGAATGACGAGTCAAGCGAGGTGTTCGAGCTTCCAGAAGTCCCTACGACAGGAGGAGGCTGTCCTCATGGGCGGTTGAGGTGCACCTGCATTGTTGATGGCCATCCAGAGTGTGTTGTGGCAAGGGCAGGCGGTCTCACGCCATCGACCAAGAAAGATGGACGGAAACGTGTTGGGCAAGTACGTGTCCTGCTCACTGAGTCGTTTCGTGTGGGGCCATCCTCAGCATACCCCACAAGCACACTGTACCTTTCCAAGAAATGCGGCCTCATCACAGGAGACGGGGCAGCAAGGTTGGAGCCAGCAGAGCCAGTCACAAGGGCTGAGTCCTCCGCAGCGTGTTCCTGAACTTGCGCTGGAACGCCTTCACCCGGTCTCGATATTCCTCCTGGTCGAACCTCGGCAAATAAGCTTGTCCTTTCCCGACACCATTCTCCTCCCATCGCTGGTGTCTCTCCTCGTCCACCAGTGTAGGGTCGCCACTTCTCCCGTGGGATAACGCGATTTCCTTCTCCCCTTCGCTCCATTCGGGAGCCCTCTTCTTCGTCGCCCTCCCCTTCTTCTTCGGGTGGTGCTTGACCCAGACCATGGTCCCCTCTCCAGCTCCCGCCAGGTCACACACCTCCTCGCCGTCCTCAGCCGTTACGATCAACGATCTCGTTGTCCTTGTGCAATTAACTGTCTATCACCGAATCCTTCTCTCACGGAGCAAGAGGAGAGGCGGCTGTTGTTTCGCCGCCTCCTCGGTTTGGAGGGTGGTGGTTTGACCCACCATACTTGTGTGCAAACCAAAAGCAAAAACTAGGATGAATACATGAAATGTGAAACACAAAACAACAAAAACGCCGCTGTCTCGGGTGTGAGGTTTATTTAGGGGCGCGAGCGAACCAATCCAGCAACAACCACTCCTGTCCTCCTGTCCTCCTGTCGTCCAAGATAGGACAGAATAGGATAGGACCCATCATTCTTTGGACCCACTGTGTGTGTTGCTGCTGTTGAGACACGAAAAGGCATCCGTGCATCCGTGCGCACGCCGAAACCGAAACCCAAAAGACAAATAAACGCAGCAACACGCCGCGCCACAAAGGCGTGGCTCCCTTTGCCTCAACTCCTCAAAACTGGCTTGGTCAAAACTGTCAAAAAAAAATGGAGGGTGGTGGTTTGACGCACCATACTTGTGTGCAGACGTTTTCGTTTTGGTGTCGAGGTGGTGCCGAGTAGTTCCCGACTATAACGTATAGCTCCCGACGTGATTTGAACACATGACCTATGGATACTAACTCTATCTGCAATCCATTGCTCTACCCCTGAGCTACAAGAGCGGTGTTTTCTACACGACATTTTAGGCTATTTATGGTGTCCGGTGGGTCCCCCAGAGCCCCCCGAGAACCCGCGCAGCAGCCATCGAGTCCTCCAACTCGCAGGCGTCGTCGGCGTCGTCGTTCTCTTGAAAATGTCGAAGGCCCCCGCCCCCGGGACCAAGCAGAAGGATAGGGATGGCCCCTCCGAGGCTGGCCGCGCGAAGCGGTCCAAGTACAACCCTGCGGCGAAGACCGCGGACCAGATTCGGGGTTGCCCGGGGTTGCTGATCACGAGCTACCCGGGGAAGGAGAGGCACTGCGCGAGGGAGGTGCTGTCGCTGCTGGACGAGTGCAAGCCGAGCTCGTCCCCCGAGAGCATCAAGGCCTCGGGCACCGAGAAGTCGATCTCGGAGCGCCTGAAGAGCGAGCTGGAGGAGCTCAGGGACCCGAGGAAGAAGGCTTACAGGTACCACATGATGAAAGGCGTGAACGGGGTCATCTTTCTGGAGTTCACGGAGGAGGCGAGGGGGGTTTGGACGCCCGCGGAGGCGGCGGCGGCGATCGCGGACGACGCGGTGAGGACGAGGAAGTGCAAGAGCAAGTGGATAGGGAGGATGATTCCCGTGGAGACGAGCTGCTTCGCTTCCCTGGACGACATCGGGAAGCTGGCGGAGAGCGTGGCCGAGAAGCACTTTCCCAAGGACAAGGGCGAGGGCCTCACCTTCGCGGTGGAGTACGAGAGCAGGTCGTGCAAGCAGTTCAACCGCATGGACGTCATCGACAAGTTCGCGCACGCGGTCAGCCAGCCCCCCTACGTGGTGAAGCTGAGGGGCGCGGACAGGAGCATCCTCGTGCAGCTGATCACGAACAAGTGCTTCGTCTCGGTGGTCCCCGGGTACAAGGAAAAGTACTGCAAGTTCAACCTGCAGAGGCTCGTGGAGAGGGAGGAGGAGCAGGGGGAGGACGACGAGGCCAAAAAGGACGACGAGTAAGGGCGCAAGGAGGAGGAGTCCGTTGGTGGGCCGAGCAGTCGAGCAAGTTCGGTGGTAACTCTGTGCTCGCTCGCAAAGGGAGGTCAGGACCAAGAGGACAGCCTGGTCCATGGCGACAGCGATCCTCCACCACCCCTCCTCCCTCGCGCGCAAAGGGAAGCCAGGAGGTCAACGAACGATCCATCATGATCAGGCTTGGCAACTTGTATTTACACAGAGTTACACTTTTGCTCCGTCGTGGTAAATAGGATGATGTGTAAATGAATCATGTGCATTTACCCACCCATACCCAAGTGCAAACACCCAGCCACAGCCTGGTCCATGGCGACAGCGATCCTCCACCACCCCTCCTCCTCCCTCGCGCGCAAAGGGAAGCCAGGAGGACAACGAACGATCCTAACCCCTCCATCATACAATACGATCCGTTCCACTTCATGCCCATCGCCAATCCATCCATCAATCGTCCTCTTGCTTGTATCCATCCATCCATTGTGGTCTCTAGGGAAAGGGAAAGATTTCGTGGAGGAAGGGACCTTGGCACCACCTGTCACAACCCCTCCCCACCCTCCTCCTCCTCCTCATCATCATCATCACCTGGTCCCTCCTCCCTCCCTCCATCCCCCTCGTCTCGTCCCCCTCGTCCTCGTCCAACTTTTCCATACGGGAATATTCATTTTTTTTCTTTTTTGGCGGCGGCGGCGCTGTAGAAATCCCCGTGTGCCGGATTTCGCCTATTTCCTTAATGAAAGGCGAAGAGAAAGAGAACGAGAACGAACTGCGATCGATCGCGATCGATCAGAACCCCAAAAACACGACGGACGACGCGACGACGCAGAAACGACACAAACCTTTGACGGTCGGACGTGCATGGTAAGGACGACGCTTACGCTTACGCTTACGGAATGGAAAGACGACGACGGAAGGGGAAGGAGAACGGGACGGGAAGGAGGCGACGACGAGACCTTTCCAGGGACACCTCTCTCGTGACGAGGCGTGCCCTGGTTGGGGAGATGCCTCCCACCATCTCTCTCTGTCTCTCTCTCTGTCTCTGTCTCTGTGTCTCTCTATTGGGTGGTTGTTCTGCCTCGAGAGATGCGACGGGGAGAGGGAGCGGGACTCGCTTGCGCGTCTTTCGTCGTACCTTTTCTTCCGTGTCTTGCTCTCCCCCATCTCTCTCTCTCTCTCTCTCTCTCTCTCTCTCTGTCTACGTTTGGTTTAGGTTTTCTTTGCTTGGACCCTCGAGGACGGAGTGATTGTGCGCGTGGTTGGCTTGGGGGTCGGCTCCGTTGCCCCTCTTTGTCCACTCCTCCGCCTTCTTCTCCTTTCTCCTTGACGTACGTACGTTCGTTCGCTGACTTGCTTGCTTGCTGCTCTTCTTCATCTTCATCTTCATCTTCTTCTTCTTCTTCTTCAGAACTTGGACGCGCAGTCGCTTGGAATTTTTGTGAACGTAACAGGAGTACTCGTCTTCTTCCTAATCGTCGTCTACCACTACGTAGTGACGGAGCCCAAAGAAGAAAGCCACCAGGAATAGAGAGAGAGAGAGAGAATAGCAAAGCAAACAAGCAACCATGGGACGTATGCACAGTAAAGGAAAGGGTATGAGCAAGAGCGCTCTGCCTTACAAGAGGTCTCCACCAACCTGGCTCAAGGTCACCGCCCAGGAGGTCACCGAGAACATCTGCAAGTTGGCCAAGAAGGGACACACCCCCTCCCAGATTGGTGTCATCCTTCGTGACTCTCACGGTATCCCTCAGATCGGATCCGTCACCTCGAGCAAGGTTCTCAGAATCTTGAAGGGACACGGGTTGGCCCCAGAGCTGCCAGAGGACCTCTACTTCTTGATCAAGAAGGCTGTGAACGTCAGAAAGCACCTTGAGAAGAACAGGGGAGACAAGGACTCCAAGTTCAGGCTCATTCTCATCGAGTCCAGGATCCACAGGTTGGCTAGATACTACAAGACCACCAAGAAGGTCGCCCCTAACTTTAAGTACGAGAGTGCCACTGCTTCCACCTTGGTCGCTTAAGGCTCGTGGTGATTCAGTAGTTAGTACACCAACCTTGTAATGCAAAACCAACTATAGTTTATAAAGACCAAACCGCCTCGTCGCCCTCGCCCTCGCCCCGAGCCAAACCGATCACCCAAGGGTGGAGCGGAGTGAGAAACTCCCGTCCCGTCCTCCTCCTCCTCCGAGCCTCTCTCTCCTATTCCTACCATTCAAGCGATGCAGGCTGCTGCTGCGCCGAGCGCGGTGGACGTGGCGGAGGTTGTTCTCAAGCACTACGAGGACGAGCTTCCTCGGACGGGGAAGCCACAACCTCACGAGACAACTGTCCTCGCCGCCTTCGTCCTGTCCACCGCGAAGACCGTCGAGGAGGACGCTGCTGCGGTTGAACAACATCATCATCATCATCATCATCATCATCATCATCATCTTCAAGTGGTGGCTCTGGGCACTGGAACCAAGTGCTTGAGCGGCAGCAAGCGTTCCAAGATAGGGGATGCGATCCACGACTCGCACGCGGAGGTTGTGGCGAGGAGGGCGCTCGTGAGATGGATGCTGGCTCACGCCCGCCTCGCCCTTCTCGGAGTGGAGTCCGCGGTGGTGGTTGGGGGATGCATCTTCGTCGACACGTCCGAAGGGGGAGGCGAGAGGAGGCTGAGGCTGAGGGAGGGTTTGGGGTTGCACTTCTTCGCATCGGAGATGCCTTGTGGGGATGCCTGCGTCTCGGCATCATCTGGAAGGAGGACGGGAGCAAAGGAGGTCACCACGACGGAGGCGCCACCGGAGGCCAGCGAAGTGGAGTCTGGGGAGCAAGCGACCCACCGCGCTCGGAGGAAGCCCGGGAGGGGGGAGGCGACCCTGAGCATGAGCTGCAGCGACAAGATCGCAAAGTGGCTTATCCTTGGCGTGCAGGGCTGCCTCCTGTCCAGGTGGGTCGACGCGGTACCGATACGGACGTTGACAATCCTGTTGGCGGAGTCCTCAGGGTGCCGGGAGACCTTGAGGGGCGCGCAGGAGTCCGCCCAGAGGGCGTTCTGGGGGAGAACGCGGGGCTTCGACCGCGGATCATCACCACCTCGCGCTTGCACCCCCCCCGCCATTCGAGTGATCTCCCACCGAGATGCTGCCGGCGGCATCGCAGAGAAGCTGGGTTTAATCATCGGGGCGGGGTCCTCCTCCCCCTCGCGGGCCTCAAAGTCGGGCGTGTCTATCAACTGGTCAGCCCTGCACTACTTTGAAGCAAATCGGACCTTCGGCCCGATCCACGAGGTTACTCTCTCTGCATCTGGAAGGAAAGCGGGAGCGAGCAAGAGGCTCCGAACCGGAGAAATCTTCAACAGCAAGGTCGTGTCCACCATCTCCAGGTACCACACCTTGCGATCTTTCCTCGACCTCCTCGAGGAGGAGCACGGCAGCGCGCTGGGGAGTATGGCGTACGACGATCTCAAGGCGGGCCTGGGGACGGACTACTACGAGACTTGGAAGAGAATGAAGGAGGACAAGGGGTCCATCTTCTCCTTCTGGATCGCGAAACGGGATGGTTGACCGTGCATCCATCTTAATTCTGTAACAATACTTGGTTGCCTACTTTTACACCCACACCCATACCCCTTGTGCATACAGCAGTCCCGCCACTTCAGGGCCAGTCCCGCCAGTTTTAAGGTTCCCCTCGAGGCCCCCATCCGGGGTCTTCCGCAGGCTGGAACAGCCAGTTGTTCCTGATCCCCGTGGCTTTGCACTCGCCACAATCGACACAGCCGTCTCCCTCGCACCGGGGACACCGGGTTCCTTTCCCTCCCTCCAGAAGTCCTCCGACCTTTCCCCTGCCTTGGCAGCACTCGCACACGACCAACCCGCTGCCCACGCACTCCTAACCGAAACACAAAACCGCGGGACGTCAGTCAACCTTCCAGCCTCGCCTGGCCACGCCCACGCGCGCACTTACCATGCACCTCTGAGGTATGAACGCGCCCCTCACGTTCTTGGAGATAAAGCTCTGCATCCAAGCATCCAAGGGACTTGC